ATAGTCTTTTGATTTTGAACCTTTTGATCTTATTCATTCAGTACTGTTGATCGATTGATATCAGATATTTAAAAGAGAAATAATTTAGTTAAGAAAAACACAATATAGCTAAAAAATTTTCAATAGCAATGAAAAAGAAATAGACTTTTATTTGATAATTGTTTAAGCAGAAACTGGTTTATTAGGTGATAAACCAAGAAGACTTCCTTTCGCTTTATAATTGAATCAATTAATTTACTGATTTTATTGATTGAATCAAATATCACTTACAAATATTTTTTCTCACTGATTGGCCATTTAAAGTAGCAACAAATGATAGATAAATCAAGTGAAAAATAAGTTTAAAAAATTGTGATAAATTTGCATAAAACGAGATTGTAAACCATTTTTATTTCAGGTTGGTCGTCGGCGTATTCATTAGGTGCGCAACCTGCGGCTGCATATATGCCTGGTGCAAGTCATCCGCATGCTGCATGCGGATTTAGTTTTAGTGGTACCGGCGCACCTCCATACTATCCATACCAGAGTGATATTTATAATCCTTATGCTCAAAGTAGCGCAGCTGCGGCAACCTATTCGTATCCGCCAATGTTCAATCCGCTCAGTAATGATTTACAAAGGCCTAGCTAGTTGAATTCAGTATGGCATATATTACTAATTGTCTATATGTAATTAATAGTACTTAAATTATAATTGTTTTTCAAATTAATTCGAAATGCTTTATGTGTGCGTAAAAATCAGTTAATAGTTTTACTGTATTCTATGAAAAAAAAGAAAGAAAGAATATTTGTAGGAAAAAACTATTTGTTAATATTTTTTTATCATATGTAAACTATTTTTGAAAAAGAAAACTTTCCAAATATGAACTACCGTTATTGTCTTATTTTAACTAATAATTTGTTTCTCTCTTATTAATCAATAAATAAATATCATAGAACAATTATCTTGAATTCGATTACTGATTTTGTAAGAAATCATTAAATGAATTAATTTATTTTAATACAATTCAAATCACTTCTCAGTTTATTTCAGTTCATCTAGCAATCAAATTCTGTTCAATTATTAATTGTTTTTTTTCAATTTCATAAATATTTCATTAAAACGAAATATTTATGAATTTATTAAATTCATTTCTTTATTTATTACTAATTTGGATTTATTTATTTCATTAATTTTCTTGCATTTTTGTCACTTTTTGTTTAATTAGTTTGATCACGTTTAAATGAATGTGTACATATATATATGTGTGTGTGTCTGTATGTGTGTGTATGTGTATGTGTGTATGTATGCGTGTGTATGTGTATGCGTGCATGTGTATTTGTTTGATTTTACATTTATGCATAAATAATTTGTAAAATTATATTAGAATTAAAAGCTATTTCAATGTGAAAATTTTCAAATTCAAATGGATTTAATTCATTTCCGATTTTATTAATATTAATAAATGTTTTTCATTGCTTTTTGTTGTTGTTATTATTGTTTTTGAATTGATTGCTTTATTTGAGTATTTATTTTGATGCTATTAATAATCCATTTGATAATTATGCTATTTAAGCAGGTTGGCGACGGTATGATGTGTAATTACTTTCATCCATTTCAGCTGCACAAATTAACAGATGAAAAAGAAATGACAACTAATTTTAGTAGCATAGTAGCAATATTTTAAATGAATTCAAAACTTTAAAAGATGCTAAAATATGTCATATAACTGTGACAACTCATTTAGCTAATATCATTTCAAATTTTAAATCGTTTATCAAGTTTTTTGAAAAAAAAACATCGAGTAACAATATTAAAGTTGTTGCAATGATTGTTACATCATAGTAATGATTGATTTATGAATAGATTCCGTTCTGGATAACATAATTTCCTTTCAGTGAATTAGTTCATTCCAAGAGGTCAACCAAGAGTAATAACAAACATATTGACCTCAAATTCTCACTATGAAAAATTATCGCTTTCGTCATTATCACTTTGTTTTATATTAAAAAAAAAAAAAAAAATAAACGAACAGAATATTTGGTGACAATAGTTTTTTTTGTCGTTTAAGTAAACAAGAAAAAAATTTATTGACATATGTAACTGAAAAGGTCAACATGTACACTTTCGTTTCATTTTTGCCGAAATGTTTTTTTTTTTAAATTTTTATTTAAAGTAAAAACCAAAAATTATCTTTGTATTTTTCAATTTGCTTTTGTAATAATTTTTTTATCTTTTTTTTGTGAAACTTTTAACTATTGAAATATACCTTTCATGAATTAATAATACCTCAATGTTAATATCAAAAGATAACCGATTCTCATAGCAATAGCATACTCAAAGGATAAGCTTAAAAGAAGAAAAGAAATTTGACGTGATCGTTACTTATCTAACAGATTTTTTTTTTCTTTCTTTCATTTTTTTTTTTTTTTTTTGGTTGCATATTGAAGCAAAGAAGAAAGAAGCGGTTAAAAAGAATATTTGTTCGATTCATTTGAAAGGTACTTGAAATTTGCAAAGAGTAAGAAGCTATGATGGTGCAATGGAAAACACTTCAACAAGCAAAAGAAGTTGGCGAGAAAAAAGAAAAAGAAAAGGGAAAGTTGCCGACATAAGGTAAAACAAATAGAAAATATGGTACCAATCCAGGATAGGGTATAAACCTGTTGGAATAGTTCTCCTAAAATTAGAGAGTATTTGATGTGAAAGCACGTGGAAAAATGTAAGAAGGGCAGGTGATAATACAAAGGTACTTCATCCTACTTCATAACACTCTTTTGTGTCCTCATTTTCACACTTCTTTTATTATCATTTATAATTTCAAAAATTGATCATTTATGTTTTACGGTAAGGTAAAAAGGAAAATTCAGGAATGATTGATATAATTGATAAATGAAAGTGAAATCTATTAATTAAACAAATGAACAAGATGAGTCAGTAATTAGTAGAACTTTTGATGTGTTGCATCCTTTTAATTGATTCATTTATATAATTTTCTGGTCATATCAATTAAATTAAATGGATAAAACTGAATCGTTTTTTTTTTTTTTTTTCAAAAATTTTCAGAATCATGAAAAAAAAGATTGAAAGAAAAAATTTCTTCGTAAAATACTTATCAATTTAATGACATAGATGATGTAAGTGTTAAAAGTTGCAAAGTAAAAAATAAAATTAAAAATTTAAAAATGAGTTTATTTCAAATTACTGAACTTGGTCATAACATTACTTTAGTTGCATGTTTGTCTTCATTTTCAATGCTAACATATTAGTTTAAAATAATTTTTAATTAAGTTTTTAAAGTAATTTTAAATAAAACTTTTAATTATGATTGATATGAATCAGCAGATCTGAGAGACGAGAAAGGACCAATTTACATCTTAAATCTTATTTTCTACATTAATACGGTATGATTTAGAGGGTTTTTTGGTAGTTAGAATGAAAAAAGGAAACCGACAAGTGGTACTCTTCAGAATTAGTACCGCAGTGACAATTGGACACAATGGGAGGTGTTTCATTCACTAAACTTCTTGTAAGGGATACCTGCACCTTCCAATTAATTACTACTGAACCGGAATTTATCTCAAACTCACTTTCTTCTCCTTCCTATTACTCTTAATATCTCCCAAATTTTAATTTCGATAAATCTATTCATTCTTGTTAATTACAGAATAATTGCATTTAACATTTTATTAAATCTAATATTAGTATCTATCAGCATATTTCTTACTTACTATTATATTTAATAAATCTTAAGAATTTTTTTTTTAAAAAAAAGGAAAAAAAAAAGAAAAATTTTAATATTTGAAGCATTAACTTCAACGAGAATGTTTTATACGAAATGTATGATTCATTTTCCTTACATTTACTTTTTTCTTTTTTTTTTGTTTTAGGTATTTTAAACTTTTTCAAACTTGAAATAAAATATGGGAAGTAAATTGAGAATGATTCTATACCGTACGTTTTGATAATATAATTTATACAGAATGACATTTCATGAAAATTTCGCGATATCTTGATTGATTTCTTGTCTTAATGTCATCAAATCGAGAAAGGCGACAAAGACTTAGAAATGACAGTAATAATTTGTCTGTTCTATTAATACAGAGACAGAGTCATGGGACTGGACTGTTTAGAGGTATCAATCAGAAATGATTGCATATAAAAAGGTGCAGCCGCTTTAGTGTACATTGCGGATTTGGATTTCTTGGTACGATAAAATGAAGTGCTTAGCACTATTGTATGTTAATCGAGCAGCAATCAAATTTGATAAAATATTCCTGAAATGATTTATTGCTTATTTTATTCTCAAAAAGAAAAAGAAAAAAGAAGAAAGAATGTAAATTTAAATTTGAATATAAAAACAATGATTATAAAAATATTCATGCAAAAACTATCAGTTAATATCAAATGATATTAGTAAGAATTAGAATTCTATTTAATACTATTCTATTTATTTATTTTTGAATTTTAGATTAATGTTTGTTTATTGTTTAATTGTTCAGATGCGCATAACATAAGAATTAAAGTATTTACGATAATTGCATCATATTAGTAGCTTATTAAGAGATAGCTTATGATCAAGAATGATAATGTTCGAGATGATATAAAAATCTATTGCAATCTGTTCTATAAGTTTAAAAAAATAATTGATAAGTTATAAGGATGAAAAAAGTAGTACCATATGGAATATTAGATTAATAATTTTATTAGTTTAATCAATGTTTACAACATTGATTTTAAATCAGTTATTCCAATTTCTGTTTGATATGATAAAAGAGAAATAGAAAAAAGAAGTGGGGAATGATAAAAATGATAGTAGTAGTAGTGCAATGATTAGAAAAGATAAAATTAATCATTTTTATTTCATCTAACGCTGAATTATTTCTCATTTGATATATGATAACAAATGCTATGCTAATCCGTGTACTCAGAATATGAATACCCATGGATATACTGAAGAACTGTAGCAATATGACTATTTCAAGGGAAGAAAACCGAAAGATCTGTTAAGTCTTCTTAGAATGAAAGGTCATACCTTTGAGTTCGTTTCTTTCCGCCCCTTTATTAGGGAAAGAACTGACATCTGCTTAATTTCATAAAATCCCGAGAATCTATCTGTTGCCGAAAAAAAAAAATGTGAAATCACTTATTTAAGGAAATTGTTTCATCTAAAATATTAACACTTGGATGAGACAGGAATAAGATAGTAAGTAAATGAGTAAATAAATAAAATAGTAAGTAAATTAGTGCAGAAAATGGCAAATAACTAATTGAATAATTTAAATTATTAAAAGAATTGTTTGTAATATCAAACTGATCACAGTAGGACTGGTATAATCAGTTACTGTCATTCATCGCCAGCAAAAAAAAGAAAAACCATAACATCATTGACATAAAAATCATTCCTTTTAATTTATAGGTAATATACGGCAGAATATTTACGGCTTACATTCTCATATTGCTACTTCCAATTTACTTATATTTCTGTTCCTGCAAGCTCTTACTTCCAGACGACAATTTCGGACAAATCTAGTCAAAGTCAATTTAGTTCAAAATAATTCAAGATGACTGGGAGCAATATATTTTACATAATACAAATGGACCCAGCAAAATATAAGAGGTGAAAAGTGACTGTTCATTTGTCAACCTTAATACTATCACTTTTAGCGAATATTTTCACTCTTCCTCATCCATCTATCGTCAATATTTGCTCAAGAAAGCTTCTTCGTTCAGACGCAAATACACGTTACGCAATCAATCTTTCGCATAGCTTTAAATAATCTTTACCAGAAGATAGTCGAAGGGACTTCTCCCGACTACGTTTTCCATAAAATGTAAAAGTACACATTTCACTGCAAATATTTGCATTTTATTTGCCGCGCAAATACCATTGCAATTCTGAAAAGCACTGTGAAACTTTTTCACTTTCTTTTGCAAAAGAAACATAGGATTTGGAATAAAGTATAAGGGTATGCTTGCGACTCCCTCAGTCACTGGTAGATCTCATTAGAGATCTCATAAAAGAGGTAAAATACTTCCAGAAAATAAAAAAAGGGAAAGAAAATCCTTCTTCTTCTAAATTTCTTACTCCAATTGCAATATTTCGTATAGGAAAGGTAGCACTTGAAAAATTAATACATGCTTTTGGAGATTAGCCTTAAAACCTTTAGTCAAAATAAAGAAGTTGCGTATCAACTAGCACAAACTTTTCTGCAGATCCAGTTTCACGACTACTTAAATACCATCTGCTGTACGAAATTGGAACTCTGCTTACATATTTAACCAAATTTTTTAGGAAATTCGTGACCGTTCAAATTAGTAAAATTTTATCAAAGTAAAAGATAACAAAAATTTACGAGTGAATAAATAAAGCACTAAGACTGTTGGCGTAATTCAAAAGACAAACAGTAAGGATTACAAAAAGAGAGCAATAATGTACTTATAATTATAAATCCACTTTAAGTCCAAAACAGAACTTTAAAGAAGAACCACTATTTCAGAAACACATGCAATAAAAACAATAAAAAAAACATGGAACTAGCACCATTACGCTTGATCAGAATGCACTGAATCCTCTAATTCAGCGTTTTTCTGCTCTTCATTATCCTCATCTTCATTAAGATCACGCGTACCTGCAATCCAAATTACATCCTTCTTCCTAGTGGCATTCATTTGCAATTAAACGGCTATTTCACATAATATTCAACATACATGAAATATATTCTCATAATAAACAGCCTAATAATATATGTATGTTCATCAAGATATGCGAGAGCAAATAAATTTGAAACAAAACTGACGAACTCACTTTTAAAGCATCCTGTTCGCATAACACAATTCATAAAATTCATGAACTCTGTGGCACAAGCTCCTTCCTCTAAGGCTGTTTCCCCAGCACTTTTCTGGCACTTTATTGCTTCACGAAATTCATGACCGCACGGACTGGCGACTAAGTGACCAACACAGTGACACTCAAAGTTCACACTTCCATCTGGCAATGTTGGACCTGAGAAAAACTACCTGAATCGCACCAATACTCTCTTATAATTTTTGAAAAAAAACCATCAAGGACTTGGAAAAAGCCTGCAGCAACCTTCTCAGTTGCGGAGACTAAAGGTTTAAACTCCAACCTGAATACCTGGGTTGTATTTGTCATCAAGTTCTTCATATGACATACGTGCCAGTGACTCCACGTAGGCATCCCGAATTGGTTCCTCGTATTCTTCTCGTGTTATTCTATGAACCTAAAAACTTTGATAACATGTACTTGAATTATTAATTAATAATACACAAGTTAGGAGCGGGGCTATCCAAATGTTATTTGCAAATTTAACTTGCGATGTTCAGCATGAGGATTTTGCTATATATCTAAACTGAACTGTTATAGTCCATTAGTAAATAAAGTGAGAGATGCATTCCTAACAGAACTTTGGTATGCAACTACGAAATCTCAAATGAAAAAATGAACTTAAAGCGTAGCAGAGGAGAAAATTGAAAATACTATCAATTTAAAGTAGCTCATAAATTATCGAAAGTTCTTCAAAATTCTGAAGCCTCTCGATAAACTATTTTTTCCTTCTTAAACTTACAAACTGAATCACAGCCATTTTACAATATCAAATCTTGCAACAATTATTTCCTAAAGATTCTCTAAGATAAATTAACGCTTTCTACGAATAAAAATTAATTAGTTATTGAAATAAAAGAAATATAACACTTTTAGAAAGCGAAAATTTCAAAAGCATACCAAATTTCCTTCACCGGTGTCATCTTCCATCCCCCGAGATTTCCATGGTATCCCAAAAAGCACACCTCCCAACGACCTTAACCGATCCATTTGGTTCGCAATGCAAAAACTGTGTCCAAGGAATGATAAAACTTAGTGAAATTAGTGCTTGGCATGCATGTTATTCACTCGTTCTGTTATTATATAATTTCAGGTATTTCTTTTTTTATTTACTTATTTTACATTTGTTTACTTTTCATACATTCTTTAGTAATTCTCTCAATTGGATAATATTTATCAACGAGTAGATTCTAAATTCTAAAAATAAGAAATTGAAATATTTGGATGGAACGATCAGTGCTAAGAATCATATCTTAAAGTATATTGCATATGTCATAATTAATTATGTCATTTTTAATTAATTATGTCCTTTCTATTTCAATTCTAATAGCTATTTGATGGTCAGAACCTGTTCCCATCAAATGATCATCACTTCTCAAACACTTCACATTTAATTTAATTTAATTTTTTTTTTCCTTTCCGTAACATATACGCAACATTCCTCTCAATATTTCAACAATTTCCTTAAATCATTTCAGCAAAATAAAGTACACAGCGATAACTGTTTTCTTGATGATATTATTAACATTTTTATTTTATCATATACATTAATTAGGATGGTACTGATTAATAATTATTCAAATTTCAATACTTAAAAAATTAGTATTACATCATTTAACTCTTAATTGAATGCATTCAAATTAAAATGTTTTTACTCATTGAAAATGAAATTTGAAAATTTTTGAAATTTTAATGCTTATTGAAAATTATTTTAAAAAAAAAACAAACAAACTATATCTGTTAATTTTATGATGATTATTGAAGTAAATGATGTTTGAAATTATTTTCAAAATATTGTCTTCTGTAACAATTACGTGTTTACACATACGTAATTACTTTAATTAAACTTTAGATTATACTATCATCTCTTTCATTTCTTTCTTTCGCATCCTTCTCTTAATTATATCATTTTAAAAATTTTCTCGTAATTAATTTTTTTGCTAAAAAATTTCAACTTTTTAAAAATTACAAATGTTCAACACTTTGTCCTTTCATATGGCATTCAAATTCATCGTTCATTCTACCTGAGTACCTATTGAAAATACACTTACCTGTATTATTTTCCATAACACATAGCTTGAATTTGATTTTAAATGTGCATTTTCAGAAGTTTATAACATTCGATAACAAATAAAATTTGATGGATACAAGGATGATACTATTGTCAATTGCTATACTAAACGTTATCGATCTCGTCGATGGCAATCAACGAAAGCATCATCGCAATATCATGTGACATTTTCATGAATATCATGAATAGTAAGCCAGTCAATATATTCAAGTCAAATCAATATTAGTTAATTCATTTGTTTAACTTTTTAAATTTTTGATTAAAATTAGTCTTAATAGGCTAATGATAAAATTTTTAGATGTTTTTCAGCGAATAAGAATGCATTATTTTTAATCATCTTTTATATATATATATATTTTTATATTTAATCGTCTTTTTTATATTATTCAAAATTTTAAACAAAATTTTACATTTTTTTATTATCATTTTTTGTGTAAATTATGAAAGATACATTTTATAAATGAAATATATTAAATGCGAAAAGTTTCTACAAGTAAAATTAAAGAAAGAAAAAAGAATTAAATTCAGTTGTAACAATGGTAGTTCAATCGGTGGTCGATGTATATGTATAAGAGGCTATAGTGGTACTTATTGCAATCGTGTCATGCACTGCAAGTTTAATAAATTTCAATCGAATGGAAGGTTACAGTTTCTCATTTGCAATTTGAGATGAATTTATTTTTATTGTAACAACTAATTCAACAAGAAAAAGATTTTTCTTAACAAAATATAGAGACGTTCCTAAATAAAACCAATACTTATGGTATGGATGAATAATAGTTAAATATCATTGAAATCCGTTTTATTCAGTTTTCCATTTAATCAATGATTGAAAAGATAGTAAGCACTGCAAATTTAATAGAATAAATAAACAATTTTAGGAATAAATAGAAGAGAGTAAATTTTTCTCGATTTGATCGTAAAATCATTACTAATTGAATTATGTGGGGTTGTTATTGCATATATGAGATTCATAAATTAAAACTAAATAATAAAATCAGCAAAAACAAAGTCACAACAAGTGTATGTGAAAATTTTCAGTTGCGTCGATTGTTCGGATGGTTGGAAAGGTATTAATTGTGATCAAATTCAGTGCATTCATGGTGTATCGGATGCAAGTGGACAAAATTGTATATGTGAGATGCCATATAGCGGACAATTCTGCAAATCCTTAGAGACATCCGATGTTTACTTTTATTACAATCAAAAGGTATTCCATCTCACTCTCACCATCCCTCATTTTATTTACTTCATAGGTGACAAACAGCATTTTGCAAAATTTTCACTTTTATTTAAGTATTTTACGACAAAAAATATGACCAGAAAATGGCATCAGATTTGTTTTGGGGACAGGTAGCTAATATTATAGGATGACAAAGCATGCTTTCAAGCCAATTCATAAAGTTAATTCATAAAGTGCTGTTGTGCATTGATTGATCAATTGAAAAATAATTTGTTCAGGTTTATCAATTTGGACCAATTGGCGCTTTATCAATATTACCGCTTCTGGTGATTTTGTTTGGATGTGAACGAACAGCTCAATCACGAAGAATTAAACGTATCGAAAAGCATCTTTACGAGCAGAACATAATAGTTAATCGCCATAAGATATCGACATTTCTCACCAGAAAGACAAAAATGACCAGTAATTAATAGTGATTCATCTTTTTGCTATTTTTAAAATTACATTTTTCATGTGGAAATCACATAAAAATAAATTAATAATATACAGCATTTCTTCTCTTTTATCTTTTCTGGTTAGCATTCACTCTTCGTTACCCGAATATCTTTTCCCTCACCTTTGTTGTCAATCATTTCTTTTTACGGTACATTATTGCGTAACAGAGAACCGTTAAGCAATGAGAAATTAATTTTTAAAAGGTCAATTGAAAATATACGAGTCAATAAGTTAAAAAAGAAAGAGAAAGAAGGAAGAAAAAAATATTTTTTTATTTCGTTCCATTTCGAAAGAAAAAATTCTATTGCATGAGTTAGTGAAAGGAAAAATGGTAGTTTTCATGATGAATTTTGATAGAAAATTTTCGCCATTAAAGAAAGAAATGAATTTAATATAGTTTGATCCGTTTTATTTCTTAATGAGAACTGAAAAAAAAAGAAGAAAGCGAATTAAGTTGATAGTCTTTGAAAGTCTAATGAAGTATAGTTTATTTGTAAATTAATGAATACATGTCTAATTTTTAGTATAGAAAAAATAAATGACAAATGTATGATTAAATATATGACGGTGACACATATTGTTCCATTACAGTGGAATTTTTTATTTTCTTAATTGGTCTAAAGGTTCATCAAATTTTTAATCATTCCATTTTGTCATTGACAATTTCAATGAACTTTATCAATAGACAAATTTTTACAATGTTTCTGCACCTTTCCCTTCTTTAATTAGGTAAAACGCTCTAATTTTACGAGCATAACATTACTTTATGCAATAACTTTTATAATTTTTCTCAGTGAAAATGAAATTTTGTTCGAAATAAATAAACATAAATTGACGTAGATTTTTTAAAGCAAAACGTACGGCAATTTTAAAAGAATTAAATCAAATTATTTATTTGAGCTTATGTTATCTTAGCTGCAATCTCAATAGTAATAGTAAACCTGAAAAATAAATTAGAAATAAGAAGCACTACTAAATAGTAGGATAATAGTGAATTAGTAAAGAATGGATCAAAAATGAAGTTAATTTTAAATTTGACATAACAAATTTTTGCTGGCATTGTTTGGATAACTTTTTTATTAAACTTAAATTAGTTAATTCTTAAGAAAGCCACGGAGGAGGTGGTACTTCACCATAGGGACCTAGATCACCTGTCCAACCTATAGAGCCAGGCCAGAATGGTTGCTTTTGTTTTGGTTGGTTGTTAGTATCCCACCACGGTACCTGTTGTTTCTCATACTGATTCCGCTTGAACAACCAGTTTGGCCAAGTTATATTTTTTTTAGGCCAGTTATGCCAATTTTTTACATCACTAGCAATTTTTTCTTGAAATTGCTTTTTCAGAATGTTAGATGGTAACATGCTTGCATGCTGCAATCCAGCATTCACCTCATACATTCCAGCTGCATGCATCTTAGTAGATTCATCGATGTTAGGCGGTGATGTCCATTGTGCAGGTGATACTTCCACTTGCAACAATTTCGGCCTTTTTTTCATATTTGCAGTACTGTACTGATTGTTGTAGCCAGTGCCCCATTCCTGACCTTCGGAATGTTTATAGTTTCTGCCGTATTTATATTCCGTATTCCACTCTATCGGTCTATCCAGTCGACTTCTCGCATCATCATTATCAAAGTAGTAATCCATTTGCTGTGAATTTGATAAACCGTTAACGCCTACAAAAAAGTAAACAATTATTTTTTCTTTAATTTTTATACATTCGAAAAATTTATATTATTTTACTGAAATAAATCCTCGATGCACTCATTCATATCAAATTATTAAAGAAAAAAAGTTCATTTATCTTATCACATATCTCATATTTTCATGCTAAAATGCTGAATTAAGGAATGCAAAGAATTTATTCTAAAAATAAAAATATGCAGAAAAAGCCTTTCTTCCATTTTTTTTTATCGATAAAGATTAAATTATTCTCTCAAGCTATCATCGATACTTGTCGAATGAATCATCTGACAATTTGTGGACAGTTTAATATATGCATACACATTGATAACTGATATTATCATATGCTGATGAATTTGAAAGGAATGATAAACATTATTGATAAATTATAATTCTTTTCTTTTTATTTTTCGTGATAAAAAATTAATAATTAAAAGAAAGAAATCATACCAGAAATAAAAACGAATATACGAAATATTAGCACTCGAAGAATTTTAGCAACTGAAGACATTATTGTTTAATTGTTGAAGATCAGCGCAATGAGAACATTTATATATCTTGTCAAAGATCTTGTTTTTATTTATAATTCTATTTTTTTCTCTCTCTCTCTCTCTCTCTTTCCTTCTCTCCCTCTCTTTCCCTCTCTCTTTCATATCCGTTTCTTAAATTTTAACAAAATTAATAGATAAAATGCGTCATACTGTGGAATGTGAGGAATATTTGTAAAATAGTATAAAATGAATGCAAAACGAGTCTTTTAATTGATAATTATTAATGAAATTCATATATTATACATAATTATTAATTTTGTCAACGGTGGTACAAACCATCAATCTTATTTTTTTTTTTTTTTCATTTCAAACGAATAAACAAACTTCATTGCTTCGATAAATTGCTGAGTAGGCGCAATGATGATAACATGATATTTCCGCTTCATTAGATGTCAATTAACAAGTTCAATTTGCTCGTATACGCGCTATTAATTGTTTTTTAGTGAAATTATTTTGAAAAAATAAAGAAGAAAAAAGTCATATTTCCATGATTTTTACATATTAAAGAATTTATTACCAATGAAATTCATGTATTACACATAATGTTTTATTATGAATTTTATTATAAATTTATATTTTTTATTAAAAAAAAAAGTAGGAATTAAATTCTTTTAGTCATTTATCTACTAAAAATTTTTTTTTGAGTTTCAAAAAGATTAAAAATTTTTGAGTTTGATAAAAAGCACAAGAATGTAACTTCCAGCTAAAAGATTAATTGTAACAAATTATATCTGATAGTATTATCACTATTAGCTATTTTAGTTAAAATATGCGACAAATGAAATTCATAAATGTCATCCATTGTCATCTGTTAGTGTTATTGTTCAGAAAACAAAATTGACAATATAATTTATTGAAATCAAATAATCTCAAATTCTACTAATTTTTTTTTTTTTAATAGTTTGAATTGAGCTAATGAAATTTACTCCATCCAAGCGAAAATACTTTGAATGAAGAAATAATAGCCAAAAGCTAAGGATCAATCGAAGCAGATGCATGAGCTTCTGCTTTAGCACTTATTGGCTTGTTGCTATTCTTCCAGCTATCCCAGTTTCCACCACCTGAGCCACTTTTCCAACTCTTCCATTCACCTCGTTCTCGACCACCATTACCTGGCTCATTACCATTGGCTATAAAAGCACTAATTAAAAAAAGCAAAAGTTGCAAATATTTAATTAAAAATTATTCTATATTTTAAAAAGGAATTTTATTGCTGGTTAATTTGATATGAAAAAAAAAGAAATTTTCTATTCTATCACCATTTATGCAATAATTAGTATGCACGATAAACTATCATAAAATATTTTTTCACAAACTTTAATTTTAAAAAAGTAATTAAAGATAGAATTACCAAAATTTCTCCGTTTTATAATGGTTCCATCTAAACTCCATTCTTCCAATTAAAAGTAAAGTAACAGAGAATGGATTGAAAATCTATTATAAAAATAAGCAATCAAAAAAAATGAAAAAAGAAATGTTTGTAAAAGATTTCGAACCTTCCCATTTGCGCCAACCTTCTCCACCTCCACTGTTCTTCCAGCTATTTGTATTGATATTACCCCAGGAAATGTAACTGCTTTCTGGTCCCATACCCATACCAATACTCAAATCATCCCCAAAATCAATACCGTAACAACATTGCCCATTTTTATCATGTTTTCCCGTACCCATGCCCCATTTACCCCAACTACGACTTCCACCATTACCCCATAACCATTTGCCTTTGTCTGCTGTGTCCCATTTGTCATCTAAGGTTTGTTTCTTATTTGAAGCAGAATTCCCACCACTATTTCCAGACTGCCATGAATTTTGCCATCCATTTTCCACATACTTTCCACCATCATGATCAGAGCCAAACCCAACCCAACCTCTATGCATTCCAGTTCCACCCATTGGTAACTCACCGCTCCAGTCTTGTTTCCATTCCACTACAAATTTATTAATTGAAATTTATCACAGATAATTAAGCAACAAAAACTCAACAATATGCAATTCTATCCAATGTGTGTGTGTTTTTCTTTTTTTAATTTTATTATATTTACATTTTTTATTAAAGATATGTTGCGAGAAATGAATGATAATTACTATAATGATAGTATAAATTATGATAATTTAAAAAAAAAAAAATAATGAAAAGAAAACCTGATGGATTAGTGGGAGTACATGTTGTCACCAATAAAACTAGAAGAAATACTGGAAAGAACAAAAAAGAATACATGAAAAGAATGAAATTATTTGTGTGAAATAAGCCACTACAAGGTTTCATTTATATACGAAATGAAAAATTCGGTCACCGGAACTGGTTAGCTATTTCCGTCATAATATTTGCTTCCTTTTTTTTTTTTTTTCTTCTATCATTTTTCTTAGAATCTCAAACTCTATTTTTTCTTTTTACTAATTTCATTATAGTTGCAATCCTATCTTAAGAAAGCCATTTTTTTTAAACAAAAAAAAAAAAAAAACAGGTAAATATTTTACTGAGAGGATGTATTAAACATAAGAAATTCAGGTGTATTGGAACATTTTATAGGTTTTTTTATAGATTTTATAGGTTTTTTTTTTTCTTATAAAACGTATTTTATTGGTTAAAAAACATTTAAATCTATAGTTCTGCATGTTTTGTTTCATTCTAGCAAATAACCACGTTACTATTTTTGCGTAACTTTTACGACACTTTTAAGTCTCATATTTCAAAAAAAAAAAAAAAAAAGGGAAAAATTATTATTATTATTATTAAATTAATTTACCCAAATTATTTACAACACTTTAAATTTATTTCAAAAAAAAAGTTATTATAAACTAATTTACCTATTATTATGAATTTATTACTATCTGTTGAAGAGTATTTCATTGCTAAAAACTTTCTATTTATCGATGCTTAAATTAAATATTTCTTACTCAACGACAACTTGGATTAAACCTATGTAACGATGGAACACCACGGAATATAATCAACGGTTGCATATTATTTTTATATTTGCAAAACGAATTTTGTAAAATTGAAAATTTCAACTTCTTCAATTGATTACTATGCTTTATAAATATGAATTATGGTTTTGTATTTGAATTAGCATATCACAAAGTAGTATTTGTTATAGTGATAAATGGTTCAACTTGTTAATTTAAATAATGAATTAAAAGATAAATTGTTGAAAGTTTGCAAAATGCCATAGAATTATTTGATTTTGAAATTGTAAAATTTTTTCAAACCGAAGCTAGTAAAAAATTTTTAATATGATAGGCTAATCATTAATGAGTTTCAAGTTATTATATACTGCTAAAAAAGTACATAAAAATTTATGATATGAAATGACGCCATTTCTCGGTATGATCTTTTATATTATAAAATTATTATTACACATAATTAAATCTCAATTTTAATCAATTTCTAATATATTACTTCCTATTTTTGAATCAAATTTATTTTAAATTTTTCTTTCTTTTCTTTTTTTTTTTTTTTTTGCAACAGATAGTATTTAAAAAAGCGGAAAAAGAATGAATAGAAAAGATAGAAGCGGTAAAATTATTGCATGGAAATGAAATGAGTGAATAATGAATGGATGGATGGTTGGATAAATGAATGAGGTGTGAAACCAAGGCAACCAAGAATTCAGGTAAATTTAGTTTCAACACCTAGCTGATAACACTTCTTATACCTTTTGAATAGTTTTTTTTTTTTTTTGGAAAAAATTTCATAAATTATAGCTATTGTTCTTATATCAGTTTAATGGTATTATTGTTTTTCTTATCAATGATAATGTTACTATTACTATTACTAGTACTGCTAATATTGTTGCTTTATCAATAAATGGTAGAACAGAAAATTCCATACAAATCAATATTTAATTTTTAAATAAATATTTTTGAATAAATATTGTAGTCATTCAAGAGAACTGAATTATTCATTCACTTCACAACTATAATTTCTCATTCAGTTTTATTTCTCGACTTATTTTCTTGAGCTGTATTTATTTATTTATTTTTTTGAAACTCGAAAAGATATATTTTTTAGAAAAGCATTTTTACTTTATTTCCTAATAATACTTTTAAAAATATGTTTCAGTACAATTTCCTATAAAAATTTTACAATTTCAGAATTATGAATGGAAAAGAAAAAATATTTTTGACACATACAATCAGAGAGAAATATATTTTTCTTTTTATTTACTGAAATAAATTTCTTTTTTTTTTCCTTTTTTTAAAAAAAAAGCTATAATTCTTAACGTTTTTTATGATCAAAGTCATTTGAATCAATATGAAAAGAAGACGATATAAGCAAAATATTGTGTTACTCAAAGTAATATAAAAAGCTTTTATTCCATTCAAAATTCTTTTAAAGAAATATTAAATTGTAAAAGAATTTTTACTGCTAATAAATGCTGAATTTACTTATAATCTATTCAAAGGAAACATTTAAATCGACAAAAACTTCTTGAATTCACGGTACTTTTCAGATTCTTCTATCAATGTCTCTTTTTTTTTTTTTTTTTTTTAAGTTTATCTTCAAGAATTTGAAAATTGTGAGTAATTCAGAAGTGATTCATCAATCTTCTTCCATTCAAAATGCTTCATACTTCTAAAAGAAAAGAAAAAAAAATTAGAGAAGAAAGAAGAAGGAAAGAGAGAAAAGAAATAAAATGTCCAAACAATGAATTTATTCGCAATTTTTTTTTTTTTTAAATGAACATGTAATTCATTTCTAATTCGTTACTTTCTATTAATAACTAAAGTAACAATAGTTTATACTGTACCACAAATACTAAAGGGAATATTAAATGAGTAAAAACTGATAATCAGAGTATAAGTATTAAAAATAATAAGTTTTTCAATTACTATTCTATACCTCTAGAAATTTTAAAATTGTAATTTTTATTAACATCAAGTGAATGAAATTTAAATAGTTTTTTTTTCTTTTCAATTATGACATAACAAAAAGCTGACGTAAATTTTCGACAACCATTGAGCTTACCATTCAATTGAGAAAGTGTTGCAAATTACGGGTAATTAAGTAATAACCAAATTTAAATAATTTTAAAATATATTTTGAAATTTGTCTATTTTAAGCTAAAATTTTTGCAGATGGGAAATCATTGGATCAGCAAGGATTGTTGTCGTTTTGAACGTTTGCCTACCGTTTATTTCACAGTATTAGCTATACAAGCTATTGCAATTATACAAGCTATCGCTTTTCTTCTTTTTAGTTATTTACGAGGTGTGAGAAAAAAAAAAAAAACTTATTAAAGTAGCACTTATTAAAGTTTAACTTTCTTTTTTTTCTTGAAAAATGCAAATTCATTAGATATATATGTGGATAAGTAAGTGATAAAAATTAGATAAAATTTAATTGCAATAAGAATTTATCCTTAATTCACACTTTTAACTTATCAGAATTAACAACTTTTTAGATGTAGAAATATATTCTACAATATATGATAATTTGAAATATGCATTACATTTCGACTGTTTGATACCTCTTATCATTATACAGGTAATCTTTCATTATATCAATTAAGAAAAAAAAAAACTTCCGTAATAAGTAAGAATAACTTTTTAAGTATGAATAATGTTTAATTAAAATTTATCGAATATATTTTCAATGTCATAAATGTAAAATTATTTGCAGCTTTCGTGGTTCATTAGTGCTATTGCTACAGTATATTCAGTACAGAAGATGATACCATATCTGATGCTTCCTCATCTTTTCATATCATTATTTCTACTATTTGTAGCAATATTACTTATCATATTAACAGCTTATCATATAATTACAGGTTAATTCAATTAGTATTTCCTACAATTTTAATCACTTTTAACTAAAAATATTGTGTTGTTTTTTTTTACTTTATTATCACTTTTTTTTTTTTAAAATACATTAAAGTTAAATTTATATAATAAGAATATGTATTTAAATATTTACATAGGTGTACAGTTTAATTCTTTCTTGATGCTTCTATTATTATTGCTGAGCCTTTACTCAGCTGGCGCACTGTATTCGATTTATTTGACCTTATCATACTTTCGCTTACTTATGAGCAAAAGAAAATCGATCATCAATATTGCTGAAAAGGATATTCGAAAGGGTCAATTTCATTCATCTGTATATTAATAAACCAATTATTCGAGCACTTTTTAAAAAAATTAAAATAAAACGAAATTATCATTTTAGCTATCATGATTTTATTTTTTACCATGATAATAGTAAAATTATGATTTCATGACAGCTAGCTAATGTTATTAAAACAAAAATTAATAAATGAATTAGTTTTTAGTTGAAAAAGTATTGATCTGATACTAATACAAATCAAATTTTAAAGTAAATTGCAATTAATATTTTATTTCTTGAGAGTATTCAATTCTTCAATACTTATCATTCACCTCAACTATTATAATTTTAAAGAGCATTACAGAAGCCTTAGTGGATGAAGCGTTATCGATAAGCAATTCGATATCTTATAGCAGACGACCCACTATTATTATCAGTGATGATTACTTACATATGCTTCATCAATAATTATAAAATTCATAAAATAAAATTTTCATATATCACTTAAAAACTTTTCAACCGTAGCATTTGTTAGCATTTCCTCTTTTAATTCATTTCAAAAAAAAATCTGATCTGTTTTTCTCTTTGCAAGGCAGAGAAACTTCTTTATTATTAAACTTTTCTCAGAAATTGTACAAAATTAAAAATGCTTGGCCCACACTTTTTTTTTGTGGATAAATTATAAAATTTAAGCAACTCATACTAAATCTCTATTATTATTTGTTGTTGCTTAGTTAATATTAATATTAATGCTATTATTGTTATTATTATTATTTTAAGTTTTAGGTGTTGAATGATCTGAATGATTGGGAAAATAATTTAAAAAATGCTGAAGAGAATTAAATTCAAGTGATAATCAAATAACATGAATAAGTTTTTATTATGAACTATTACTCATACTTCTTTCACTGTACAAACAGCTTATATCAATCATTTCAGCATATTCGTCGTAGTCTTATTACATGAATGCTTCCTTTAATTATTTCTTGTTTCTTTTCATGCTGGTGCAAATTAAGTTTTTCATTTCAAATATATGAGTTTCGAGTTACATCCTTATTCGAAATATTACATGCTTCTTTTCAAAAAAATTAATATACGCAACAAAAGCGTCAAAAAATTATTGACGTAATAATTAATCAAATGAAAGGAGTTGCTATGGATATAATCATCAGATCCAGATAGGTAATTAGCACATATAAGTTTACTTTCAAATGCACTGAAAAAAATCTTAAAGTTTGTCTCATATTAAAATTTAATGACAGTATGTTACAGCAATACATTAGCTAAATATAGGACAAATCAGAAAATCGAAAAATCAAGTATAAAGTATAAGGGTTGCCAATCATCAATTTTCATTTACTATCTTTAATGAATATATAATGAATTAGCGAAGTTATATTATTCGGAAAAAGTCATGAATTTGTTTAAAAAAGAAGAATCGATTTCGAACCTGGATAATTCTTTTAAAAACAAAAAATCAGAATTTGGTATTTTCTTCTAATGTGTAATTCATCAGGTATGTATCACTTATCACATTATCAGCTATGTACCCTCAAACTATCCAGGTATGTACCATCAGGTATGTATAGTTGGGGTTCAGTCTGAAAGACATTCCTTGTTTGTTATTGTAGTTGGTGTAGATGAATGCGTTGAATGATAGATCTGTTATGTGTCTTTGCTCTTTATATACTAAGAGATGGGTTTTAATATTGCACTTCCCCAAAGGATGATTATCAGCTTTAGAAGACCCTTACACAATATTTGGTTTGGAACAAAGGAGTAATTTTTAGCATATTAGACAATGCACATACCCTTTGTTGTCAGATGGAAATGTCTAGACAAAGGATAAGCTCAACTACAGTGGGAAGATGAGTGTTGGAATAAGGATTGCTCACAGTTTGCAATTTGAAACAGTTTTACATTTTTGGTGTTCATTTAAGACAAATTGTAATATTATGGATTATACAATTTTATTTGATATATTTTGTAAAATATTTGGAGGCTCGCGAGATTATTTTCGAATTTCGCGACACTCTCGACTAAAGGAGCTGGATGCTTTAAGGATAGTTGGGTATCTTTGTCTGATTGCGTCTAGTTCCTCGAGCGATAGGTTGTTATTCATCGATATTTTGAATTGATTTATCGAACAGAGAATCCGAATTAGTTGAGAATCCGAAATTTCCTCGCCTTTGATTTCCAGTGGACATAGCATATTCACCAGTCTGTTGAGAATTTTTCCTTGTGGTAATTCTATTGAGACACTTCTTACTTCTCCAATCCTTTCCTCTTTTAATTTCCTTTATCCTGGCTAATTTTCACATACCACGGGGAATTTCTGGTTCATTTAACTAACACAATCTCTCCTTCATGGGGAGCTCTTACTACATCTCTCGGAGAAGAATGTCCTCTTTGTGTCCTTTCTTTAAGACTATTCAAATATACGTCTTTTCATATTCCCCAGAAGGCATCAGGGGCTTTTAATGTATTTGACCAATACTGAATTAGTTTTTCTTGAAACAAATTATCCTTCAGGTATGTACCCTCATACTATATCAGGTATGTTACTCTCTATTCAGGTATGTGCATCTTGTCACATTTTCACATCACATGATAAATTAGAACTATAAAAGTAAAATTTTCAGAGATTGTAAATCAATCAATAATGCATCATAGAGTATTACAACCGTGAAATTCTGTTGAATGTATTTTCATTGGCGTTGTTTGCTTGAGAAAGTGCACAATGAGTTTTAAAATGTGATATTAAAGAAAATATAAGAATCAATATTTGAATAAATTAAACAACCTGCATAGTACCTGAAATTTTAAACTATTAATTATTTTATTTTTAAATTAACACCGAAACTGTTTATTTCATCATTTTGCCATCATTTGATTATTCCATTCGATAAATACTACTACAATATCTCGATACAATCCAACATATACACCTGTGCTACTCAGTTCAATTAATTAATTACAAACATATCAGTCTCAGTAAAAAAAAAAAAAAAAAAACGCCTATTATCCTAGTATATTTGGTTCCTTCGCAAAATAAAAATTTAGACAATAATGAGTAAATTAGAATATTTTATTAATTAACCAATAATCTGACACCAATAAGACATTTGTTACAAGAAATGAAAATTTGAATTCAAAAACTACAAATTCAATGCAATGCATTTCATTTCGATGGCTGAGCGCAATAGGTGAAAACAAATAGCGCTCCTCCAAAATAAAATAAATAACTGTATGAGAAGAGAGACGAGAACAATTCTCTCTTGTCCATACTTTATATTTATCATTGTGAATTAATGTTCTCATGAATCGATATGTCTCCATTTCGGCATACTTTTCTTTCTCGAAGTTAATCGTTCAGTTTTTGTTGCTGTAATTTTTTTTTCTTTATATCGTTGTTATTTCTCGAGATTAGAAGTAGGTCACTTTCTAATCCAAAATGAAATTTGGTCAATTGCACCTATCTACTAATTCATTTGAATTTTAGCTTACTAATGAAACTATTGAAAATTTCAACATTCCATTGCACATTAAAGTTTTCAATCAAAGTAATAGAAAGAAATAATGAAATGCATTCTAACTCAAATATTATTAGTTATTTCTTTAAAATCGTTGTTTTTAATCGAATAACTAACTGCCAATTATTCCATCCAAAATAAAAACATTTAGGCATTTCAGCTGTATAAACTACAATTTGCTTTTCCTTTTTTCATTCATTTCTAACGAATTACTCTTTAGAAGGAATTTTTTTATTTTTACATTTATCATAAATCAATTTTCATGAATAATTTTAATGTAAGTTTAATTTTTTGTTAGTTCAATAAATTACCTCTTTTAGTGGTAATTACCTCAACGTACGATAATGTCATTCCTCTTTAGCAGTATCAATTTTTGTAAAGTTACAAACGTTGAACTTTACGCTGATAACTTAAAACAGTTATCATTTTGCATTTAGCTAGTCTTCACTATGTGATATTTGATATCTGATTACATAGCAAACTGATAAAGCAACAATTAACGCAAACGAAAAAGCAAGAGGAAAAGCCATTTTATCTGGAATTACTTATTGAATTAACATATAATAGATAGTGAAGTATTTCAGGTTAAATCTAGTACAATACAGAAGAATCCTTTAAAAATTTATCACCTAAATTCGCAATTTATCACTAAACTACTTACATTCATCTCACAAATTAACCTAATAATATTCACTTTTTTGTGAAATTACTTATAATTATTAAAGGTAATGTAATAAATTGTAGTAAGTGTCGAGATATCACTTACTTTTTTTTTTGTCTTGGATGTTTAACTAAACAATAAAAATTATGCAAATCAACCATATCGATACAAACAATATTTCATATTCATTTGCATCAGATAAAAGTAGCGATAATGATAAAAATTATTGTATGAAATATCAAAAGAGAATAGTGAAAAGAGAACTAATCATTGAATTTTATTAAAATAGCAAATTAATACTGGGAAAAACAAGTGCTAAATCATTTCAATTGTAATTAAATTAAGTAACTGAGTAAATTTCTTTTCATTAATATTATTTCTGTTAACAAATTAAATTTTCTTATCTCAACAAATTCTCTCTCTCTCTCTCTCTCTCAAAGAAAAAAAAATGAAAATTTCGGCTAGCATAGAGCATTAAGAGCAATTCTTGCTAATGTTCTTTGATGATAAAATAGTTTAAGGATGAATAATAGATTAATTGATTGATGGAAAAACGTTGTTATTTTGTCTTCGGTATGCTACCGACAGCAAACAATGCTAACTTTCATCTCCGCTTCTTAAGTAAGTAAGTAAGTATGTGTGTGTGTGTGTGTGTATGTGTATGTATGTGTGTATGTGTCTGTTTGTATTGCATTTCAAGCTGCAACTTTCATCTAACATCAGTTGTTTCTTTTAGATGTTTGCCATTTAGTTATTTTGTAATGAAAAAGCTTTAGAAATCAATTGTTTTTCATTTTTAATAAATGATTTCAAATGAATTTTTCCTTCCTCATTGCTATAATTTTTTTTTTTTTTAGTAAATTTAATTAAATTAAAATAATATGCTAATGCATTTGATGACAAATTAGTAGAAATGATGTATTATTGCTAATGGGATAATGTAAAGTTTTAGGATATAATCAAAAAATGATAACAAGAAAAAGGCAAAAAAAAAAAAAATTAATAAACCAGCGCTAATAGTTTAAAAATAATTGATAAATTGAACAGATGGCATTAAAGCATTGGTTTAGTCATATCAAAATTTTCGTAGTCTTTTTCAAAAATATAAAAATAACAATGATTTTTTAGCATGAAATTGAGATGAATGCATTGACAATCAAATCGATGGGAGCGCTCCATTGTTATACTTTTAGTTTATGCTATTTCTCTCATTTCATTCCATTTTTCGAAAATTATTTCTAAAATTAAACAGTTTTCATTTTCAAATCTCATTCTCATAAATTACTGCAATTCATTAAGTATATATGGCCTAGAAATAACAAGCCAAATTAGCCTTCAAATAACCATTTTCTTGGCTCATTTTTAACTCATCTGTCACTAGAAAAGTAGCCATAGCCATTCTTGTGGCTTTGTTACAGTTTTTGTTTGCAATACTTTTTGCGCATATCAATCTTTTAAGCTTTATTTTTTCTTTTGGTGGCGCAAATGTTTTATAGTTAAAATCTAATTTATTAATTAAAAACTATTATGTGTGTAAACATTAGTTTTATCCTATTAACATTTTGTTTAATTTAATTAATTCTTTCACTTATTCGAAAAAAAAAAGAAAAGAAGTGATTTCATTATTTACACAAAAGTTCTTGTATTTAAATTTACTTAAAAATTTAACAATTTATTTTAAAAATTACAATTCCAAACTTGAATTCACAAAGTATTTATTTATAATTGTTTCTCTATTTATTATTTCTTTATTACTATTAAACTTCATTTTATCTGCCGGCAACATTGTTATGTAAATAATTTCTTTTTTTTCTTGCTAACCTTTTTTATTTTCCTTTTTTTACTTCCTTTTTCCGTAAGTAAGTAAGTAAGATTTGCTTCTTTCTTTTTTGCAATTTTTCTTATTAAATTTAACAAAATATATTTTCAGATTTTTTTCTTTTCATAACAATAAATTGCAAAAGTTTATGCTAACATTATGCTATAAACTGCCAATAATTATAAGAATTTTTCAACTTTGCTTCTTTTTTTTGTAACATTTTTCTTATGAAAAATATTTACTTTAAAGAAATGAAATTCTAATAGCATTGGAAGATCGAATTAAAGCTATTCAATATTAACTGATAAATGAATTTAATCTCTAAGAAAATTTAAATTTACATCACATAAAGCTTTTTTTTTTACAATCGATGAAATACTATTACAATATGAAAACAACATTTTTTTTAAAATTATTTATTTGATAATAATTATCAAATTTCTTTTTTTTCATTTACTGATAATGATTATGTGATAAACTTTTTTTTTTTTAAAAAAAGTGCTCTTTCGTGGTAAATTAGAACAAATTAAATGAGAAAGGAATAATTGTTGTAACAGTGAGTTGCTGAATTTAATGAATGATTTTGACGGCTAAATAGTTCGATGATATGAATTGCTTCCGCTGCTAATTTAACTTGCTGTTAGCTCTTTAGCTTAGATAAACAGAAGTTACAGAAGAAATTTGTTTGAATTCTTTTGCTCTTATACTACTTCAAATTTTCTTTTCTAAATTTTTCTTTTTTTTCTAACTCTCAAATTACTTTTTTGATTTTAGTTCTGATTAAATGAAAAATAAATTTCTATATTTAATTAAATTAATCTTTGGCTCTAATGTTTGCTAGTGTTTTAAACACTGAATTTAAATTTATTCATCTATCGATTGATTAACTAATTAATTAATTTAAGTTGAAATGGAAAATTTGACAAAAATGCGTGAAAAGTTCAATTTCTCTATTAAATCTTCAAATGTGAAACAACAAAAAAAAAACGAGAGTGTCAATTTCATTTGTCACATTACTGTAAATTGTTGTTGTCATATTGTTTCATTCATTTATTTGATAAATATTTCAAACAAATCATTACGAATTGAATAGCATTTGTGATTAAAAAAGTTGTTTAAGTGAAATAGAATGAATGAATTATCTTATCAGATAGAAATTGATGATAAAATATGGTATATTTACAATCTGTACGTCATCTATGCATGCATACATGCAATTTGATTTGATCACAGTTATACTTTTGCAAGTTTTGCAGGAAGAATGAGTGAAGCATGGGTGACACTGGCGACATCAGATGGATATGCTATTGGAGCACTTGTTTTAGCTCATTCGTTGAAAATTCAACAAACTACTAAGAAGCTACATTGTATGATAACAAATGGTGTATCACAACAACTTAGGTTAGAAATATAAAACAAATGATTGTTTATAATTTGTAATTAATAATAATTCATTACTTTCTTTTCTTCTTTCTCGAAATTTTTACAGAAATATAAATAATAAATAAAATAAATTTATAAAATTAAACATTAAATAATTTAATTTAAAGGGATGAGCTTGCTGCAACATTTGATAGTATTAATTTGGTGAATATTTTGGATAGCAACGATACAGCAAATTTACATTTAATTGGCAGACCTGATTTGGGTGTAACTTTTACTAAAATACATTGCTGGAGGCTTACACAATACACTAAATGTATTTTTCTCGACGCTGATTGCCTTGTTAGTTTTATAATTTTTTTTTTTTTTGTTTAAATATTTGACGAAATAATATTATATGCATAATTTTTTAGCTTTATGATTCGTTGAGAATTTTAATTTTATTATTATTTTAACTTTACGATTCGGTGATATTTTAAATTTCATTATTTTAGCTTTATAATTCGTTGAGTATTTTTAATTTTATTATTATTCTAGCTTTATGATTTGTTGATAATTTTATTATTTTAGCCATAAGATTTATTTTTTTCCTTTTTTTTGTTAATATATTCAGGTTATTCAAAATGCTGATGAATTATTCGATCATGATGAATTATCTGCTGTAGCAGATATTGGTTGGCCGGATTGCTTTAATTCAGGTGTTTTCGTTTATAAGCCATCTGAACAGACATATTTGGACATTTTAAATTTTGCCCTTGAACATGGCTCCTTTGATGGTATACAATTTATTTATTTGTGTTTCGTTTTTTTTTTTTTTTTTTCTAGTCAAATATCTATCTGAAAGAATGATTGAGAAGGCTAAATTTATTAAATTAGTAATTATGCAACATCTATTTAAGTGATTATTTATTCATTCATTTTGTTGAATTTATTAATTCAACTTTGATTTGTCATCTTTCGTATCTTTTCTTTTTTCTTATTATTAAAATTAAAATGATATGTAATTAAATATAGAAAAGCACTTTATCGTTCAATTGTTTATAGGTGGTGACCAAGGTCTATTGAATCAATTTTTCAAAGGTTGGCGAGATAAACCACCAGCTTTTCGATTACCTTTCATTTACAATATGACCTCTGGTGCAATTTATACTTATGCTGCTGCTTTTAAAAAGTACGGTGCCCAGGTATGCTTCAATTATTCCTCTAACACAACTCATTAATTAAATTATGAAATGTTGAAAAGAGAAATTCTAAAATTGCAAAGCATTATCAGTGCAGTGTTTACAAACAAATTTTTGACATTAATTGTTGTAATTTTATTTTATTATAAATGAAATTGTTGCATCGTTTCAAGAAAAACAAAAACAAATTTCCGATAAAATTTGAGTCTATTTTATCCTTATTAGAAGTTGAATTAACTTCTAACTTTATTTTAATTTTATCTATGCTAAAGCAATTTTCTGAATATATTAAAATTTTTTGTATCATAATTCAATGATTAGCATTAATTGACCAATTGAAATGGCTATTATTAAATTATTTCATTTCATTTCATTTCGCTTAATAATTTAGGTGAAAATTGTACACTTTCTGGGTCCAGTGAAGCCATGGCAACAGTCAACGGATAGTGTCCATTACTCCGAGCATCTTGACTACTGGTGGTCATTGTTTAAAAGTCGACTGACCTCGAATCTCGTCACATCACATGTGAGTTCGTCACATTCTTCACCATCATCTCAACGTGTCACAAAGATAGTCACCACCGCACCATCATTGTCCTCAACTACTATTTTCACAACAACAACTACTACTACTACAACAACTACTACTGCTGCTACTACTACTGCTACTGCTGTTACTGTCACCATTCCCTTTACTTCTGGAAAGGACACTAGTAAATATGGCCGAAGGAGTCAGTCAGCAATTTTGTCACATAACGGTGACCCACCTAATCCTCTCTGCATGCCAGTTTTCCGTTGTGTACCGCCAGTTTATGGGGCATGGAGACCATTGCGCCATCCACCCACTCATCTCGCCAAGCAGATGACACTTTTCTCACTTGTGAGTGCACTACAGTTGACTATTGACTATTAATTTGAAATGTTTATTTTCAACACTTTTAATCTAACTCTTCAAATTAGACTTTTCTTTTGAGTGATATTCGCTAGTATTAAACTGTAAGATTTAAACAATTAATACATTTTTGTTTCCTTGGCAGTAATATATTGAATATAAGTTTAACGATAATACTTTAATCATTTTAAGTTTTCCTTTAAATTTACAATTCATTAACATTGATCTATCAGTGGAATGAAAGTAAAATTGTTAACAATGTAAGTTATATAATTTTGTATAATATCATAAACTTTTTGATTATTAGATTTCGACTCTTTTTAGTTTCAAAATTTCCTGAAAGGAAGTTTAGTTCTTAGTTAATGAAATACTTCAAAATCATTACTGTCAAATTAAAATTAATGACTTTTGCATGTCTTCTGCCCTTAACAAACTTTGATGTGTTGCAATATAACTCAATAAACGACTTTTCGCTTAAAATAAAATTTCCGAATTTCTTTTTTTTTTTTTTATTAGCGATTAATTAGGTCAATTAACACTGACTGATTCCACTAGCATCTATAAAACTTGAAACATTTCTTTGCAACCTGTTGTATAATTATTTTTTCCAAAGAATAATTTCAAATTAATAATACAAAAAAAAAAATTGCTCTCTGACTTTTTCTTTTTTTAATAGCACAAATAGAAATATTAGTTAAATGAAAAAATTAAAGAATTAATTAAATTAAAATTTTTTGATACAACAACAACAAGACATATTTGCTAAAATTTCACTTTTTAAAAAGCTTTTGAAATTCTTTCGAAATTTAAAAATAACAATTTTCATTTTTATTGTATTTATAACTTAATCATTATGCTAATAATAGTTATCACTAAGAGAGTAATCATATAGCTAGTTATCTGATATCAATGTGATATATTCTTAATTTAGCAATTCTTTATCTCATTTTAATCTCTTACAATAATTATAGTAAATTGCTTGGCGGCAAGAACAAAGACTGAATGGTATGAAATTTTGCGAGAAATTTCTAATCGCTGATTATAGCACATAATTTTCAGTGTTTGTATAATTTATGCATGCAATACTTATTTAATCAAATTAACAGAAAACACTTATCCATCGTTACAGACAAAACTCAGACTTAATATAAATGTGCAGATATGCACTATGAAAAAAAAAATTAATTTTAAATTGGAAACTTTAAATTATTTCTACTTGTTTTATTTCTACTCATATAAATTTGATTGTTAAAGTAAAATCTTGGAGTTTAGAAATTTAATTTTTGGCAAAAAAAAACGAAAAAAATAGTAAGCGGTAATTGTAGATGATAGTTTTAATACTAAAATACTAAAATAATTGAAATACTAAAATAATTGAAAATTAAGGATAGTAGTTGAAAATTAGGATTGAAATCCCATACTTTAATATTTAATTATCATTTCTGAAAGATATAATAATTAAGTGTCAAAGTGAAAATGATTTGTAATGAGTGAAGCGTAGGTGACAAATTATTTGGAAAATATTTTAGGATCATTTGATAAAGGGAACAGTAGAATATGGAGAGGATAAGGTAAGGTTAGTAAGGTACCTTTAGATGAAATTCAAAATCTTCAATTGAAGTACTTAGAAATTTTGTGAAATTTGTGATGTACTCTAATTTCAGAACAACGTTAACTCGGTGCAAAATTATAATGCAAATTCAATTTTCTTTTTATATTTAAAATTTTTTATTAAAATTAAAATTAAAAAAAAAAAAAACTAATAATAATTTAAGATACCTGGTGTTTCGTTTGATCAGTCATCACCACCAACCGATGAAGAGCGTATGCGTGCTTGGGAAGTGGGTCATCCTGATTACCTTGGAGCTGATGCTTACAGTAACATTCAAAAAGCTATCGATCATGCATTAGAATAAAAATGGATTTCAGACGAAAAGAAAAAGCAAAATTTTTGATAATACATTTTTGTGGTCAAATTTCAGCAATTTTTAAAATTTCAAAAACTTTCAATTCTAAATCCCATTCAAAGTATAATTTTCTCTCTCGCTCTCTCTCTTTTTCTTAAAAAAAAAGAAAGTTTTTTTTTTTTTCTGTAAACAAATTATAAATTTGTTGATTATTCGAACATAGATTTAATATCACAATGTGAATTTAGAATGTGATTGTATTTATGGGATGAAAAATTGAGAATTTCTCCTAGAAAAAATAATTTGAATTTTTTCAAATTTCTACAATTAATTCTCAGCAAGAAAAAAAAAAAAAAACTACAAAATTTTTTTTTTTTTAGAAACGATAGTCGCGTTTGTATTTGCGTTGAATGATTTTTGAAATTGAAGTAAAGATGTTTATCATTGTTCTTTTCTTTTCAGGTCAACAAATTTTTAAAAAAAATATTCTGCTATCTTTGTTCTCACTTTTTTGGTGCTAACTTCTATCACCTGTAATCTTTCCATTATTATTTAATTAATGAAACTTTAATGATTTAACTGTATCCTATCGTACAATCAAAATTTATTTACCATTTAAATGTGTCCAAAAAAAAAAAAAAAAAAAAAAAAAGAAAACATTAAAAATTTTCTCTGTTTTTATTACTACATTTTCTCCATTGCTATTTTTATGTTTTTTTCATTTTTTTTTCCTTCAACACATTACAAAATCCACAAACTATAAAGCCATAAGCCTAGAAAGCCATGAGGCCATAAGTTTAAGTAAAAGTAATAGGTAATATGCCATAAGTATTGCGCTATTCTGCGCAAATATTCTTGCATGCAAAACTTGATAAATACATATATTCGTCATTACTAAATAATTGAGCATTTAATGAATGCCAACAATTGTATCAAACAAGTTTATAACACAATAAAAATGACAGATAATACTATCACTGCTCGTTTTATCTTTTTTTAAACTCAAATTTCAATTATTGCAGTTTGTTATGATGTGCAGCATTAATGCTGCATGCATTAATTGCATGCAATATACATTAATTTTGCATGACATAAATTTAGCATTTAGTTAAAAAAAAAAAAAACACAATTTTTTCTTTCTTCATTGTAATTGTTGTTGAATAGACGGTATTTTTGATTTCAGATGTATTTTTTAAAAAAAATAGCACAAAATTTACAAATTAATCATAATTAGTTGTAAAGTAGGATAACAAGAAAATTTTGTTTGTTTATTCATAAATGATAATTACTTCATGAAATGGAACAACAACCACAACATCCTTTTCTTCTCTTATATTTCTTCTTTGACCTTGAACCTATTAAAATATTCATTTCAATTATTTGTTTATGATTGCATCTTCTTACTTTCTATGCAGTTAGAAAAATTCCTATAAACTTAGTATGCAAATTGATATTATCTCAATTATGAGAAAGAAAACAAATTAAACGAACCTAAATCAAATCAAATATCTCAAAGTTTAAAAGAAAAAAATTTTTTTAATTTTTGCTTAAAATATTGAAATAGTTTTACCAGTCTTACAATAATTATTTCAGTAAAAATAAGCATAAATAATTAACTAATCAGAATTGAAATAAATTTATAACAAATGAAAAGACAAATAGGTTTGCTATCCGTATCTAATTAATGTGATTCACACCTGTGTGATACTAATAATTTTTTTTTTTTGACTGTTAAAAATTCAAAAGAAAACTTAAAAATTCAAAAAATTGAAAGAAAAAAAAGACTAAAAAATAAAAAAACTTAAAAGATAATAAAGATAAAATAGAAAGAAATTAATGCAATAAAAGTAGGAATTGTAAATTCTGTTGAAATGACAACTATAAATTATTATCATTTGGTCTCTATCATCATACTCTAACAACTGATAAGTTTAACACCTGTTCAGGTTAGTAGTGACGCTATGATGAAAATATCTTAAACAATTGTCTAATTAATCTTACGTTTTGACGTAATCTTACGTTTTGATGCTCTGATATCCGTTGGTTTTCTTCCAGCTGATTGATCTAAAAGCTTTATAATCAACGCTAAATGTTAAAAGGGAGCAGTAAGAAACGACAAAAAATTAAGTAAATGAATAAGTAAATAAGTAAGTTATTATTTTAATTTTATGCAAAATGATTTTGTAGAATTAAAATTGAGGAATTCCCATTAACCTGAATATCTTTTGTTTACCTCCGTTGCGGGCAGTATAATTGCTTTTTCTATTTTCTCGTGCCATTGTTGTGGCCATTTTTCTTCTTTTTGCATCACATTGTTATCTTTTTTCTGGCTAATTTCTTTCTGAAATTTAGTTTAACTCAAAATTTTTTTTTGAAAAGAAAGAAAAGAAAAAAAGCGCTGATCAGCAGATGTAGCAAGCAAATGAACTAACTAACTGTTCAATCAAATTCTACAATTTAAATATCCACAAAATGATAAAAGTATAACACAATTTACTAACTTAAAAGTTATTTGTTGTATAAGTAAGTGTAAGTTAACTTTTCTATAGATAAGCAATACTAAAAGCTTAGGGGAAATTCTCGAGAAGCAATAATAGTATTGCAAAACACTTACTTTACTGCCACTGAACGATTTACTTCTAAAAAAAAAAAAAAGCTTGTTTTCAAATTATTTAATGTTAATATATTTCAAATTATAAAAAAAGAGAAAAATTAATGATTGGTTGATTAGGGCTAATTTTAAATTGATAATAAGCAGAAATAGTTATACTCTGAAATAATAATATCATCATATCCTTTATTTTTTGTGACATTTAATGCTTTTGTTGCAGCTTCATTTCGAGCTATTGCTTCGATATCCATATTTACCATTTGCTGATTTCTGAAAATTTTAAATTTTACTAAAAAAAAAATTTGATAAAATTTTAAAGATACAAAAATTAAGTTTATAATTTTTTTTTTTTTAGTTAGAAAATCTATTATTTCATATCTACTGTTACAGATGATAAATTTTGTTGACTATAATTTAAAGAGTATTGCAATTCTCAAAATTAAAGAATCAAATCTTCAAATTTTTTGTTTTGTTTTTTTTTGCCTAAAAATTCTTTCTACAAATTTAGTCAAATAATTGATACAGTAGCATCAGATGATAATTTCTCATCATCAAACTTTTTGTAAATCAGAAAATTCATTTTATTATTTTTATCTTAAAATTTGTGTAATACTTTTTTGCCATGTAAATGTTCTTTTGTAATTCTATTGTTATCGAGAGAACATTTATCATATCAGTGCTACAGATAAGAGTTTCAACATGCTCTATTTATTTGAAATATTTTTAATTTGCACTGAAAAAGCTTGACATTTAGCAAAATTAATTATCTAACTACTAACTCCGCTCTTGCGGCATTTATTGATGTCATTGTTTAAGCTAAAATGACAAAGACTTGTAGGAAAGCGCCTAACGTTCACACTGACACTATTAAATAATGATTATTTGTTGAACATTTGATGAATTTATTTATATTTATTGAATTCATTTACATTTATTTATTTAATGCGCTAAATGCTAATTTTTATTAAAATAAAATTTATTTGAATTATTATTCAATGATTTTAGATATGCATTAATGCCAATGAATCTTTTAATCAAAATTAAACTTTTTGTTTCCACTTTTTGCATTAAAGTATTTAATTTAGTGTTGGAATTACTGAAAGTTTATTATTATTATTTCTTCTTTATTACTAATATTATCTTTTCTTATCAGTGCTATTGATACGAGACTTTTCGTCTATTCTCATATTGTAAGAATAAATTTTTTTATAGTCTATGAAAAATTTTTTCTTCATAGCCTAGAAGTGTAATTAAATAATGTTTCTAAATTTTTTTTTTTAAAAAAAAAGAAACCTTAAAAGTTTAAAGTGTAATGTTGTTCATACTACTAATTAAATAATAAAAATAAAACAAAACTAATTGATAGAAAGTTATTTCCTCTTTTCATAACTCGTAAATATTCAAAAAATAAATTAAATATATTAATCAGTAAAATTTGTATCATTCATTTTTATATTTTAAATTGATAATTTCTGCAATAAACTTTTGTTAACATTTGACCAACAAAGAAACTAATCATTTTATCATAAAAAAAGTAATCATTTTTTTACATTAATATACAATTTTTATCTTTTTTATCTCTTCCATTTTCACTCCGATAACTTTAAACGAATAAAATATTTACTATTTATCTTCTTTTTTAATAGCTATTTCTTTAATCACTTTTTAATTATTTATCTCTTTTAATTATTTTATTTTTTAAATCTCTTTTTAATTATTTATCTCTTTTAATCATTTCCTAAGCTAATTATTTTGAATGACATATGGAAATGATTTAAATGAAAATGAAATGATTTGAATGAAATAAAATGAAACATTAATAGTTTTATAGTAATGCCTTGCAATGAATATTGACATCTGTCAGAGGAGATCAAAGAGAGAGAGAGAGAGAGAGAGAGAGAGAGAGAGAGAGCAAAGAGAGAGAGAATATATTTCTTCAATGTTTTAACTTTCCTGAGTTGAATCGATTAAATTTCACAGGATTTTCTTTTATAGGTCGCTTGTACAATCAGTCCACTGACCATTGATCTTCTTGTGGACACAGAGAAAGAAACCTTTATCATAAGATACTAAAATATAAAATGAGATTTAATGATAATAACTATCATTCCAATCATTTTACCAACCATCTAATCAAATTTTCATTGATTTTTTAATTTAAATAAAACAGAATGAATGGAATAAAGAATTAGACGAAATGAAAATGTCCACTTCGTTAATTATATTATATAAACAATTGGATATGATAATTATTTACAGTGAAAATTGTACAGGACAATAGCGCTCATGATATTTATTTCATTACATTTTTCATTTTTAAAATAGATAAATAATGCAAAAATTTTCATCATTCCACAAAAATTATTTAGTTGTGTCATATTTCTTCTTTGTTATACGTAAACAAAGAATTCGTTCATCTAGGAAAATTAAAAGTGCGCCTCAGATAAAATCATTGGCGCAGTTTGATTTTTAACGATAAGAGATGTGACAATTCATTCATAATAAACAAAAAATGAAGCAAAATATGCTGTACATCTCATTATTCTTTTTTTTTTTTTTTTTTTTAATATTTAATAATTATCGAGAAACATAGTCAAATGCGCCATTCTAATTTAAAACACACTTAACTATCTTTCCCTCTTCTTTTGAGATTTATTTATAAATGTTTTATTAAACTGAGCAATGAAAATATTAGTTGAATAATTTTGTGAATAATAATGAATGTTTATTTGTAGAAATGGGCGGTATATTCTCTTACATCTAAAGAAATTTGTCACCAATTCATTCTAATCAATAAGTTTAGTCATCTCCTGTGGACGGCTATTCCGGTTTCCTCCAGTTACGAATTAGCTTTTGAAGAATGTTTTTTTTTTTTTTTTTATTTAATTCAAAAATTTTGACTTCAAACTTTGATTTTGTTTCCTTTGCCATCTCAGCTGATTTTTAGAGAAGAAATAGCAGAGGAAGAAAAGGAGACAACTGAGTGAGTGACAAATACTGTTCTTTCTGTGATCGGTCAAATTCCGAGGGAAACAGTACATGTCTGTACAACCTCAAATACGGGCGGGGCCTATTACCGATGTTACCGCATCAGCAACCTTTCAAACTCTACGGTTCATTGGTAAGCGGCAGTTGCTACCGATCATGGAGCTGCAGCGCAGTTTGTTACTTATTGATGCTGCTGTATCTCTCTTTATTGGTTTCCTATTATTTTTTACACCTTCTCTCATCGGTTATTTTATTTTTGTAAGTTTTTTGTTTGTTCCTTCTAATTAATTATAAATGATTTTTTTTTTAAATTCAACTTCAATTTATTGTCCTAAATTTTAGGAATAATAGATATTACTCATTTCCTATAAGTGTAAACACGTCATACGTGTAATATTGACGTCACCGATTCAATGAATCATTTGCCTTTGTCCTTCAAAATTAATCAAATTTAGAAATTCTAATGATTTGCAATTTTTAATTCTCAGGAATCACTCCATGTTATAGTTGCTTCAGTAAAATCAATCATTTAGTTAAATGTTCATAATTATTGACCATTTTAAAATTTTAAAAAGCTTCAAGAATTCTGGCAATCTTCTCTCCTGAATTACTTGCATTAGAATTGAAGAAAAATGTTAATTTAAAAATTATTAATTTAAATTATTTGAAAAATTCCAGGTACAAGAAACAGATGGCGTCCATTGGCATTTGCTTAGATGTATCGGTTGTCAACATATTGGTGCTGGTTTTCTAATATACAAATTGAGAAATTCTTCAGTGGATGTACTATCTGCTTGTCATATTGTTCGAATTTTGGTACTATTTTTAATTCATCCATTAATAATTCATCTTCTATTGAAATATTTTGTAAACAAATTAACGAGAGCTACTGAGGTGTGATGAACAATTTCCTCGAGAAATTTTCTCGAGGAAAATGCACTTATTTGCATGATTTTTCTTTTTTCACAAAAGGAATTAATTCATTAAAAAAAAATATAATACATGTAATTTTAATATTAAATCTTTTGAATAAAAAAGAAAAAATTTTTTACAATAGAAATTTTTACTTCTTATATTGGTTTTTTGTTTTTTGAAAAATTATAAGTTCATTAAATTTTATAGCAGATAAATAAATTGTGACAAAATTATTTTTAGGAATTAATATCAGTACTTCTAGTCCTGGTGCATTGTTCAGCAGAAACACCAAATTTAATTCATCCCAATGTGAGTAGTTTAAATTTTTATTAAATTTAATAATGAAATAGATGATGGAATGTCAGAGATTTTGCATTTGGAAATTAAAGTATTACTTAAAATGATTTTCAATGGATTTGGAATTTCTGATTTTTTCTCTTAATTTAGGTGCTTTAAATTTATGATAACAATTCTAACATTTGGATATTTTTTCTCTTTTTTTTTCATTTCGTATAATTTCTTATTTTTCAGTATTTGAAAATCGCCAAATATTGGTGCTACAGTTGGTTAGCAATGAATTTTTGCCTACAAACAGCTCATCGATGGTCACTCGGAGAAACGGTCATTACGAATGTTATGGAAAATATTCTTTTCCAGATGGATAGTCTTGTATGTGTAATTATTGGTGTTGCATGGCTTGCATTTCCGGAATGGTTATTACACCGTCAGGTATCAGATTTACTTTCAAGCTAAAAATTTACATACGAATCTTTTTGACAAATTTTCCGAATGAAAGATTTATTTCATGTTCAATTGCATTTTATCTATTTTAATCAGATAATTTTTCTCCATCAATACTTTCCTTCTTTTTTTTTTTTTTTTGCTATGATTATTCAAATTTTTAAAAACACTTTTAAAATATTTTGTTTTCTAATCAACATAAATTAGTATTTATAAAAGATTGATTAATTTATTATTATAAATGCTATTTGAGGACCTTTTCCACTTCCTCTTTAATTAATCTATTTTTTTCAAAATTAGATTTAAATTGAATTTTAGTGAAAAAAACTTTAACAATACTCTTAGGTTCGTATACATTTGGGTGTATCACATGAATTCTGTGCTCGACTTATGGGTACTGACTTTTTGACCTCTTCTGTGATCAGTAGCCATGCTTTACATTGGAAAAAGCCGACAGATCGTTTAATTGCTATCGATTGTCGATCTTTGGTATAATTTCAAATTATATTATTCATTAATTAATTACTATTCTTATGTTAATTAATGGTTATCTGTTAAGTTAATCAATAACAATCATTTTTAAAATATTACATTTGAGCTAATTCAATGTTTTTTT